AGCATGAGCCACTGCACTCAGCGCCCACTTCAAGCTTTTGCCCATTCTGTGATTTCAGCTGCAGGTTTGTTACAAAGTGGCCCTTATTATTTGGAGGTCTGTTTTTTTGATGCCTAATGTGTTGATTTTTTTTCATGAAGGGATTATGGGTGTTATTGAAAGCTTTTTTGCATGTTTTGTGATTATCATATTTTTTTTTCCATTCTGTTTATGTGGTGAAACATTTATTGATTTGTGTACTTTGAACCAACCTTGCATCACAAGAATAAACCCTACTTGATTGTGGTGAAGTAAATTTTTGATGTGTTGCTGGGTTTCATTTGCTAATATTTTGTTGAGACTTTTGTGTCTACATTCATCAGAAATATTGGGCTGTAATTTTCCTTTTTTTCCATGAAAGCCACTGACTTTATTGATCTAAAAACTTTACAATGACAGTGACTGTTCTGCCAAAAAACGGAGCCAAATGGTTTCAAACTGGCTGAAAGTGAAGGTGGGGGTGAGGGATAGGCCCAGGATTCCATTCAGGAAAGCCAGTAACTGTCATCAGGGAACTGGCAATGGAAAAAGGAAGAGGGAGGCATGGAAGAGCGAGAATCCAAAAAAGTTGAAATGGTTAGGGGAGGAAACTCCCGCAGACCCTGGAGTATCTCGGAGGTGAGTAAGGCAATAGCAATCTTTTACTTTGCAGCGAACAGGGGAGGAGTTGGTATATTCTGGAGATATATACGAAAATAGCAATCTTTTACTTTGTAGCGGACAGGAGAAGAAACCCTACTCCGGAGATGAGTACGAAAATAGCAATCCTTTTTTTTTTTTTTTAAGATGGAGTTTTGCTCTTCTTACTCAGGCTGGACTGCAATGGCGTGATCTCGGCTCTCTGCAACCTCCGCCTCCTGGGTTCAGGCAATTCTCCTGCCTGAGCCTCCTAAGGAGCTGGGATTACAGGCACAGGCCACCATGCCGAGCTAATTTTTTTTTTTAAGATGGAGTTTCGTTCTCCTTACCCAGGCTGGAGTGCAATGGCGCAACCTCGGCTCACTGGAACCTCCGCCTCCTGGGTTCAGGCAATTCTCCTGCCTCAGCCTCCTAAGGAGCTGGGATTACAGGCACACGCCACCATGCCCAGCTAATTTTTTTTTGAGACGGAGTTTCGCTGTTGTTACCCAGGCTGGAGTGCAATGGCACGATCTCGGCTCACTGCAACCTCCGCCTCCTGGGTTCAGGCAATTCTCCTGCCTCAGCCTCCTGAATAGCTGGGACTACAGGCGCGCGCCACCACGCCCAGCTAACTTTTGTATTTTTAGTAGAGACTGGTTTCACCATGATGACCAGGATGGTCTTGATCTCTTGACCTTGTGATCCACCCACCTCGGTTTCCCGAAGTGCTGGGATTATAGGCGAGAGCCACCACACCCGGCCTGCTGAATTCTTTTATGTGCACAGAGAGACAGTGTGACTTTCTGTTTTCCAATTTGGATCCCCTTTATTTCTTTGACAATTTGTGTCTGTATCCTTCAGGGATATTGGCATGTAGTTTCCTTCTGTTGTGTGTGTCCTTGTCTGGGTTTGGCCTTAGAGTAATACTGACCTTTAGAATAAACTAGGAAGATTTTGGAATAATTTGCAAAACACTGCTGTTAGTTTTTCCTTAAAAGTTTAATAGAATTCAGCAGTCAAGTTATCCAGCTTTACACTTTTCTTTGTTGGGAAACTTTACTGCCGATTCAATTGCGTAACCTTTCCTTGGTCTGTTCAGGTTTCCATTTCTTCTTGGTTCGTTCTTGCTGGCTATGCACTTCCAGGAATGTATCCACTTTCTCTAGGCTTTTCAGTTTGTTGGCACGTAGTTGTGCACGATAGTCTCTCATGACCCCATGTATTTCTTTGGTGTCAGTTTTAATATCTCCTTCTCTGTTTCTCTTTTTTCTTGTTTAATATAGTTAGCAGTGTATCAGTTGTGTTTGTCTTTTCCTAAAACCATCTTCTAGTTTGAAGGATGTATTGTTGGTTTTGTTTTCTTACTCTACCTCATTCGGTCCTGCCCTGCCTTTATCATTCCTTTCCTTCTACTACATTTGAGTTTCCGGTCTGTTCTTGCTGTTTTGGTTTCTTAAGGTGCATTGTTAGGTTGCTTGTGTGAAGTCTTTCCCTTTTGTAGATGTAGCTGTTAATTGCTATAAATTGCCCTCTTAGTGCTTCTTTTGTCACTTTCTATAGGGGTTGGTTTTTTCCATTTTCATTTGTTTCAAGATTTTTTAAAAAAATTTTTCTTAATTTATTGATTGGCCCAGTCGTTCATTCAGGAGCATGCTGTTTAATTTCCATGTGTTTGTAGAGTTTCCAAAATTTTTGTCCTTGTTATTGATTTCTATATTTATTCTATTGTGGTTTGAGAAGATACTTGATTCCTAGGAGTTTTTAAACTCAGTATATGGTCTATTCTCTAGAATTTTCTATGTGCTAATGAGAAGAATGTGTATTCTGCAGCTTTTTAATGAAATGTTCTGTAAGTGTCTGCTAGGTCCCTATGGTCTGCAGTGCAGTTAATTTTGATGTTTCTTTGTCGATTTTCTGTTTAGATGATCTTTACAGCGCTGAAAGTCAGGTGATGGAGTCCTCATCTACTCTTGTACTGGGGACTGTCTGTCTCTTTAGTTTCAGTGATGTTTGTCTTATATATCTGTGTGCTCAGGTGTTAAGTACATATACCTTTATGACCGTTGTATACTTGCTGAATTGATCCTGTTATTATGTAATGACCTTCTTTTTCTCTTTTATGTTTTTTTTTTTTTGACTTACGATCTATTTTGTCTGATAGAAATACAGCTGCTCCTGCATGCTTTTGGTTTCCATTTGCAGCTGTGTAGTAAGTGTCCTTGCCTTCGGGTTCCAGTATCATTTTCTTCACTATCCTTAAAACCTCCCTACCCGCCTCTTCGAGGACCATCAGGCTTCCACTCACAGTCACTTTAAGACTCTTTTTGTTTTCATGCTTATTCTTCTGTAGGTCCTTTTAACTTCTGCTGAGCTCCTGGTCCAGTGGTAATCCTACGTGTTGAGTAGTTTTTGTTGTTATGCAGTCTATATGTAGTGTCCGTATCTGTATCAGTTACTTCTTGGTATGTAACAAAATGTCATGTCTCAAAACAACATCTATTTTGTTCATAAGCTGCAGTTATAAGCAAGGCTCAGTGGGGCCAGCTCACTTTTTCTTTACTTGGCATCAGCTGAGGTGACTTAAAGCTGCGGACTAGAATCATCTAAAGGCTTGTTCATTCACCTTTGTGGCATTTGAAGCTGCTTTTGGCGGACATTAGGTAGAGAAGACAACTCAAACACCCACCTATGTGAGGATTCACCATGTAGTTTGGGCTTTCGCACAGCGTGTTGGCTACATTTGAAGGACTAGAGTCCCTAGAGGAAGAGAGTCAGGTGGAAGCTGTATGACATTTTATAACCCAACCTTAGCAGTCACACAGCAGTTCTGCCACATTATGTTCACGAGAAACCAGTTATTAATGCCAGCTTGTATTCAGGAGAGGGAATGTCACGGGAGAAGTGGCAAGCAATTTGCAGATGTTTCAAAACCACCACTTCACTTACCTTTTTAAAATAAAAAAGTCCTAGTCATTTCCTCTAAAGGAAAGCAGTTCTTTCCAACTCAGCACCACGGAAATTTCAGTGAGATTTTTTTGTTGTCATCGTTTAATGTGCTCTCTTATTTCGTGTAAAGCAGCAACGAATTACAAGACCGTGCTACTAAATTAGGCATTTTTATTCAGAAAAGCAGTACGGATCCTGCCATTCAACTTTTATACTGGGAGATGTGATTGCTTCTTAACTCCAAGTGTCATTACTTTTTGAAATGTAATTCAAATTAACTTAAGGCACTTGAAGTTCAGCAAGAGGTTTGTGGTGCTGGAATCCACTTTTTTTCATGATTTATTAGAGTCTTAATTTCAGAGTCTTATTATGGGAGCCATGTCTTGACTGAGGCTCAAATAATTTAATATGACGCCCCTAAACCTTCCATGCAAATTACAGAGGATGACAGTGGGTTAAAGGAGTAAGAGACTTGTGCTAAGGGGGTGACTTAGAGCCATTTTAAGGAGGAAAGCCATGAAATGATCATAGAAAAACAGAAGTTTAAGATCAAATCCAAATGTTATGTGGAAAAAATGATGAGAGTAAAGAATATATTTTTGTGAATTCTGGTGGTTTTAACTTTGTTTTTAATTTTCTGAGTAATCCAAGGGTCTGTTTTTTTATGAATCTACAACAGTATAGGTAATATTTTATTGCAACTGAATTCATTTAAAAAATGATTAGTTTTGGGCCGGGCGCGGTGGCTCAAGCCTGTAATCCCAGCACTTTGGGAGGCCGAGGCGGGTGGATCACGAGGTCAAGAGATCGAGACCATTCTGGTCAACATGGTGAAACCCTGTCTCTACTAAAAATACAAAAAATTAGCTGGGCATGGTGGCACGTGCCTGTAATCCCAGCTACTCAGGAGGCTGAGGCAGGAGAATTGCCTGAACCCAGGAGGCGGAGGTTGCGGTGAGCCGAGATCGCGCCATTGCACTCCAGCCTGGGTAACAAGAGCGAAACTCCGTCTCAAAAAAAAAAAATGATTAGTTTTGTGTTCGACCATTCTCTGTCTACTTTCTTTTATCTTATTTTCTTCCTGCCCACACTAGAGTGCAGTGGCACTGTCTCTGATCACTGCAACCTCCACCGCCCCAATTCAAGCCATTCTCCTGCCTGGACCTCCTGAGTAGCTGGGATTACAGGCACCCACCGCCGCACCCAGCTCATTTTTGTGCTTTTAGTAGAGACGGGGTTTTGCCATGTTGGCCAGGCTTGTCTCAAACTCCTGACCTTAGTTGATCCATCCACCTCGTTTTCCCAAAGTGCTGGGATTACAGGTGTGAGCCACCACACCCGGCCTCTGTCTGCCTCCTTCATTACCAAAGTATATTGTTTTTTGACTCATGCAGGATGACCTTACAGAAGCACAGGAAACTGCACCTTCACAATGTCCAGATCTGGACGCAGAGAATGAAGTTCTTCAGCAGATATTATTCTCTACAAAAGCGTTAGAAAAGAAATGTCAAACACTAGAGGAGGAGATGCAGCAGCTGAAACAGGTAATAGTAAATCTCAAAAGTTATATGGAGAGAAAAATGTTAGAACGTGGTGAAGCTGAACAGTATGAAGTGCCGATTGAAGAAAGATCAAGACGGAAGATAGTGGAAGAGTTAAAGGAAATCAGTCTCCTCTTGCACGTTGGTTCATTTGTCTGTAATGTGCTTTCATTCGTTTCGCTGCACATTCCATTGTGCATATATCCATCGTATATGTTTTCTGTACTTTTCTTACAGCAATTTGTTTGGCAGACTTCTAGAAGGCAGGTGATATCTGTTTCTCCATTTAAATATTTTCGTTTCCAACATTCTTATAACTAAATTGATCTTCCATAATAAGAATTCTCACTAGAAAATCATTGATTACTAAGGCCAGTATGCATACAAGAAGACTAATAGAAAAAGTAAAAAAGAAAAAATTGTGATTGAGAAATTATACCATACTCGTGAACTGCTTTTAAGTTACATTGTTCCATTTTTAAAATTTTAACTTGTTTCTGTCATTGTTTGGAGGATTGTTGTACAACCAATTATTAATTCAGTTGATACTGATGATAAATATGTGAAGCTTGAGCTTCTTTCTTTCTTCACATACTTAAAATTGTTCTCTGAATAACTGACTCCAAAGAAAAGGAAACAAATGCACAGTAATTATTCAAGTAATAATTACTTTCAAAATGTTCCCTTTTAATTATTTTAGACTCAAGCAGCATCTGAAGAACAGTTAGTGCAAAGGGTGAATGATATTCCTGCAGAGAAAACTCGGCTGGAACTCACAATCAAAGATCTGCAATCTGAACACTCCAGAGTAAAAACTTCGGAAGCTGAAAATAAAATCGAATTGGAAATGTATGAGAAACTCTACCAAGAAAAATTACAAGTTGTAAAATCCTTGTCAAATGAACTGAGAAGATAAGTCAGTGTACAGAATCATAGTGAATAAGGTAAGCTCATTAATTTGCCATCCAGAGCATAACTTCCAGTGAGACAGGTTCATGAGATTTGCGGGAAGTGAAAGCTAACTAGACTGTACAGTTTTTGAACATTGTAAATTATAAATAGTAAATGAACTTAACCTTTAAAATCTTAGTCCAGGACAGTTCATGTCACCGCTGTTTTTGGTTTTACGTGGCTTCCCCCAGCCCCTTAATATTCTTGTATAGTTAACCCGATCTATTAGGGTTTCTGCTAAATATTTGTGAAGCTTCGTAATTTAGACAGTGATATCATGATGAAAATTGTCAGTATTCCCTTAATTCAAAATATTAATGAATTTAATTAATTTTTGGAAGATGGCAGCTGAAAACCTTGGGTCAAGTACGACAACTCTGGGCACATTCTGGCACTGAGTAAATTCCCTTTGCTTGACTGTGATCATTAGAGAGCGCCTTGAGAAGAAGTGTCCTGTATAGTTCTTCCGCTCCACGTCAAGACACACTTGTGAAGTACAGAATGATTAACATAGGGTTGGAGGGACGTATCACTTACTAAGTGATTAAAAAAAAAAAAAAGCACCTCGGTCAGCCTGAGGGGGTGTGTGGAAGACAGAAAGGGCAGGCCCCACCTCTGATGCGTGGGCCACAGTGTTAGGAGCTGATTTCGTTGATGCTGCTTTAGCTCTCTTTGATCTCAGCTGTCTTATTCTCCCCTAGGAAAAGTCTCCTTGAATGATTCCTCAATGCCAAATGCTCAATTTTTTCCAGATACTGGGTGAAATGTACAAGGGCAGTAAAAACAGTTGTTTGAAAATGTCTTTGACTGATAGTTTTTAAAAAATCTCTAGTATACTAAATACAAGTATTTCTAGCTTTTATTTTTTCCTTTTAACTTTTTAATTGTATATATTTAAAGAGTACAACATGATTTATTGTATATATTTAAGGAGTACAACATGATTTCTAGGGGGATTTCCAACAAACAAGTAGTTGTTCCCCCTAGAAATATATGTACTTCTTTAGAACAATGTTAAAACTGTAACTGTAGGTGTACTCTAACACATATTCAGAGTTAAAATATGGCTTACAGTATATTGCATTTACTTTTATGGCAACTTTTAGAAGACTTGAAGTCATTTAGGAATCATTTAGGAAAAAATGAAATACTAATTATTTGTCTTTTGTAATCTTCATAGAACCATGGAGATGACAGCAGAGGTCAGTCCCGAGCTTACTGTGGAGAAAGAGAAGACCAAATATCCAGCAACTGCTTCTACTGCAAGGCCAGTCCTAGTGTCACCTTCTGTTGGAAATCTTAGTGAACGTCTCAACAGAAGACATATTGAAGGAAAAAGCAGGTCTTCACATGAGAGCATGGAGAGCTTCATGTCGAGGGTTAGTTATATTATCTTTTTCCTTTGCTGTTTAGATTTCTGATAATAATTCTGGCATGTCACTTGCTGAAATACTCAGTTGTTTAATTGTGTTGTGTGTGGTAAGCAAAGGTAATCATTATCTCTGTTCATAAAGAGGAGACAGAAATTGTAGTGATTTTTGAATCCCCAGAGCTCTCATTCACAGGAGATTACTCCTTTGTTAACTTAATTCAGTAAAGGTAACCAAACTGACACATTTTACATGTCTTTAAAAACCACAATTAAGTTAGATTTTAACAAAGGTATACTTTGATGTGTGTGTCTTACTAATTGATTTTATGTTTGCCTGGGGTTCACTTTTAAAGGGTTTAGTGTGCCTGGGGTCACTTTGAAAGTTTTTCTGCATCATCATGACAAGGAGACCCAGGCATCTAGGATCACTGCATTTCATTAGAAAAAAAGGATGGCCGACTGGCCTCCTAAATCAGGTTCCTGTAAATAGCAGGCATGGTGTGGGGGAATCTCTCCAGAAGACATTGCTTTTACTTAAACAAGATCAAAACCCCATCCCACTCCTCCATGACCAAGACCCTTTCACATGTGCTTTCTAAAACTGTAAACCCAAGACCCTTTCATATGTGATTTCTAAAGCTGTAAACCCAAGACCCTTTCACTTGTAATTTCTAAGGCTGTAAACCTAAGATTCTTTCATGTGTAATATCTGGAGAATATGCCTATATAAAGGCAAAGCTTCTCTTTGTTAGGAGAGTGTAGTCATTTAGACAAATTGTCGCCTGGCTCCCGGCCGTAATAATAATAATAAACACCTCTTCCTTCGCAGTTCGGTGTTTGAGAGAGGTCTGTTTCTCCAGGCCACTTCTGCTTCAGTCTCAGGTTTTCTACCCCTCATCATATATGAATGATTGGTATCCACACACTAACCACACATGGATGTTTATTATTTAAACAGATCCAGCGTGAATACTTTTAATATGTTGTATAAACCTGCAACGCTTGATTAATCTCTGTTCTTTAAGTTAAAAGTTTTGTGATTTTCTCACATGAGTACACCTGTCATTGCTATTGCTCTTACAGCGTTTTAATCTCCATTTTTGTAAAATGTGTCTATTGCTATGCAATTGTACAGTGATTCTGAAATAAATAAATAACTGAATTTTTAAAGTAAAGCTCAGTTATGTCTCTCTACCTAGCCATAACTTGACGACCAAGATGGCAGTGATGTCAAGAGTCCTTCAGTAGCAAATGTGACCAAAGAGAATCAATTCTATTCTTTCTACCCCAAATGCCATCTAAAGCTGCACATGGACATCTACCATGGACCAGTAACAGGAACCTTTTAGTTCAACTATGTGGTTTTGTGACATGGTAAAGCCCTATAAAACTGCATACCTCAACGACACCTCAGCTTTCCATCGAAACTGCTCTCTGTAACTTAAATGTGACCGGCAAGCAGTCCAAACCCATGCCATCTTGGCCCCTGTGACTTGTAATCTCCATGCTACGCAGACAATGTGTTAACAAATGCTTATCTTGATTTTTGTGAACTGCTTAAGTAACAATCAGAATGTCAGAAGTCCCCTGGCCCTCGGAGTGTCCGGAGCCCCTCACCCTCATCTCCACCCAGGAGGTGATTTACAGAATCTACTAGCCCTCAGAATGTCCGAAGCCCCTCACTTCCACCCACGCCCCTCACCCTCACTTCCGAGGTGGTTGTACAGGTATAAAAGGTCTTGACACCCTCCTTTCGGGGCCACGGGTTGGAGAGACGTGAGTCCTCCGTGGCCGCCGGCAATACAGACCCTGCAATCTGGCATGCTTTTGTCTTGGTGTTGACTTTCTATGCTCACTCGACTACAACAGTTTCACTCAGAGTAAGTCTATTTCTGAGGATTTCCAAATAGATCCAAGAATGACAAGCTGTGTCAATAATAGAATTGGTAAAGAAAAAAAAGGAGTTCAGCTATGCTTAACTCAGATTAAGGTATTTGTCTTACATTTGTCCATTTTTCAACTGGAGGAAAATTATAAAAGCTGAGCACAGTGGCACATACCTGTAGTCCCAGCTACACCTGAGGCTGAGGGCAGAAAGATCACTTGAGCCCAGGAGTTCAAGTCTTCAGTGTGTAATGATTGTTCTGTAACACTGTAGCACTCCAGCCTGGGCAACATAGCAAGATTCTGCCTCTTATAAAAATTACAAAATTCATAAAACATTTGTATGAACAAAAATAGTTTTCTTTGTGTATATTTTTATTTTTTTAAATTTCAGTCAATGCACATTGGCTTATAGTTTCGGTGGTTTTGTTGTTGTTGTTATTTTATTTATTGGTTTTTGTTTTTGTTTTTTTTATAAGACAGGGTTTCACTATGTTGGTCAGGCTGGTCTTGAACTCCTGATCTCAGGTGATCCGCCCGCCTTGGCCTCCAAAGTGCTTGGATTACAGGTGTGAGCCACTATGTCCAGCCTGTTGGGGTTTTTTTTTTTTTTTTTTTTTGAGATGGAGTCTTGCTCTGTTGTCCAGGGTGGAGTGCAGTGGTGCAATCTTGGCTCACTGCAACCTCTGCCTCCTGGGTTCAAGTGATTCTCCTGCCTCAGCCTCCCAAGCAGCTGGGATTATAGGTGTACACCACCACACCCAGCTAATTTTTGTATTTTTAGTGGTGATGGGGTTTCATTATATTGACCAGGTTGGTCTTGAACTCCTGACCTCATGATCTGCCAGCCTCAGCCTCCCAAAGTCCAGGGATTACAGATCTGAGCCACCATGGCCTGGCTTAGTTTTGGTGTTTTTATGATCTCCTAAATGCATAGAAAATTAGCATAGGCCCACATGGAATGAGGCCTCCACCTTGTTGTGTTTACCTGGCTATTTCATGTTCTAACATATCACAGAAGAGCAAATCTGTGGTTTCTTATTCAACATTGCAGCCAAATAGCTTAAAAGGCAATGAATTAAATTATTGTTTTAATACATAGATTTCAAAAGCCCAGCTAGCTGAGATTTTTAATCATATTGTTTGCTTAGGTTTTCTTTTTCTGAAAAAAAATAAGATGATTAGCATCCAAATGCTTCAGTCATGAAATTGTACCACTGGGTACAAAAGGAAAATGAATGTTAAATAAATCTGTAAATTGTTAAGCATGATACAAATATAATGTTCTCATTAGTACTGTGAACCTTCAAAATTTGAGACAGGCCTCAGTTAATTGAGAAAGTTTTTTTTGCCAAAGTTGAGGACACATGCCATGACACAGCCTCAGGAAATCCTGATGACATGTATCCAAGGTGGTCGGGGCACATCTTGGTTTTATACATTTTAGGGAGACAGGGGGCATCAATTAATATATGTAAGAAGTACATTGGTTCAGTCTGGAAAAGTGGGACAACTTGAAGCAAAGGGAGGAAGACTGGAAGTTGGGAGGGGGCTTCCTTCCAGATAGGTGAGAGACAAACAGTGGCATTCTTTTGAGTTTCTGATTTGCCTTTCCGAAGGAGACAGTCAGATACGCATTTATCTCAGTGAGCAGAGAGATAACTTTGAATAGAATGGGAGGCAGGTTTTCGCTAAGCAATTTCCAGCTTGAGTTTTCCTTTTAGCTTAGTTATTTTGGGGCCCAAGATATTTTTTCTGTTCACAGTACTTACCAGAAAAGTGAGGTAATGTATTATTTTACAAGATGGTGATGAGAGAGTATAAAAAGCAGATCTGATGCAAGGGAAGATTTTTTAGGAACTATTTTTTCTCAATTTTCTGGGGCCTTTCACTGGCCAGGAAAAAACTGGAGTCATTAACACTCAAGACCCCTTTCCTAAGCTTTTGGGTCCCAGAGGCACTCCCTCCCTGTGTCCTGGGTCTGTCCCTTTTCCCTCTGCTTTCACATCTGACCTGGGATCTCTTTCCCAAAGGCTGTTGCCCTCCACTGTCATTTATGTGGTGAAATAGTCAAGGGTCAGGGAAAGGCTGGAAGAGAATTGGTGCAGGGGGAAGCCACTCCGGGAGTGGAAAGGGGCAGAGACTTCTACCATGTACCTATTTCTGAGTTTGAAGATAAAATGACCTTTATTTAAAGTTGTTATACAAAAGTATTCTCTCTCTACAGAGTTAGGATTTCTTCAGTATAAAAGTAAGCAATTTGTTAAGGAGAGTATCTCATTTTTATGTTAACAAAATTGAGGTAGTATGAAAGTATTTGTGAATGGGGTAGAAAGAAATAATACAGTCTATTACACTGGTAAGATTTAGCAGAAGAGTTTTTGGGAGAAAAGATAACTTTACAGTAGAGTGTTTTAGTTTGAGTTATGTAAAAATGTACTTTTACATAGTGCTTATGGCTGGCAATATCTAGGGGTTCTTTGAAGAAAGGCTTCCCCCTTTATCTGGTATTGAGTTACTTCTTTTATAAGGCCTGGCTGGTAATGCTGTTGTCATGTTGTTATACCAGAGCGACAACAGAAAGTTAACACCAAGACAAAAGTATGCCAAATTGCAGGGTCTTTATTGCTGGCGGCCACGGAGGACTCACGTCTCTTCAACCCGTGGCCCTGAAAGGAGGGTGTCAAGACCTTCTATGCCCATAAACCACCTCCTGGGCGGGGGTGAGGGTGAGGGTGAGGGTGAGGGTGAGGGGCTTCGGACATTCCGATTGTTACTTAAGTGGTTCATGGAAGTTAAGCATTAGTTTACGCATTGTCTGGGTAGGGTGGAAATGACAGACCTTAGTTACTTATTACAAGTTGCAGGGGCCAACATGGCGTGGGTTTGGACTGCTCGCCTGTCACATCAGGGTTACAGGGAGCAGTTTCAACAGAAAGCTGAGGTATAGTTGAGGTATGCGGTTTTACGGGTCTTTTACCATGTCACAATGTTACTTACTCTGTAAAGCCTGTTTATAATGTTTTTGTCACAGAAATGTTACGGAAAGGAGGCTCAAAATATTGGTTAACCTGTTAGTCAAAAAAAAATTGACACCTAAAATTTATAAAGGCATTAGATATCATTATCATTCTCGCCACAAACCATCTCAGACCCTTTCTGGGCCTTTAGTGAGAGAGTGCCTATTCTACAAAAGATTTAATGAGAGCACTCTAGATAGAGACACTGACAATAAGTTTGAAATATTCCCACACCTTTCATAATTAAGTAGATAACTATAACTTGTCAGATCCTTCAAAAATGGATACTAATTTCTGAAAAGAAATCAAAGTTGCAAAATCAGAGTTGCAGTTAAATAACTATATTGTTTTCCTAGTTTCTAATTCTAGACACGAATCAGTTAATGAAACTAAGATTGAAAACTGGCTCTAACCTATTTTTATTCTTGTTTTCATGTAAATTTTCTGAAATCTTTGTGTCCATATGAATAAAGAAATGTTAACCATAATAGTATAATATTTTTAATCTTTTGCCAGTGGAATATATTCACATGCCATCACAACGACACTGCTTTCTTCAAGTGTGTATTAAAGATTCTGTGCTGAATCGATAGTAAAGGACATACGTTAAAATTATTATTTTATACAAGTGAAGAATGGTTCATTTTAAGGAACTATTTATTAAAGTGAAAAACTGATTAGACTTTTATGAAGCGCAGAGTTTTGATAAGAATGGGAAAGTAATGCACTCATTGTAAAATATGAGTTGAATTGTTTAACCTTTGTACTAATAAGGGAAAACCTCACACTTTTGAAATGACATTGTTCAACAGACCAATATTAATTCTGCTTTTATGAGATTAAACAGCACAACACATATATGTTCCCCTTTATCTAAACTTAAAATATGAATTTATGTGATTTTTTTTAAAAGCAATCTTCAAGTTAGGTTTAGTCTCTGAAAGTATTATATAAAGGCCACATTTTGTAATTGATACTTCTTACCATAATAAGGTCTCTTAGACATTATAAATAATATTTGACTTATTTCAGATGCAGCAGAAGCTGGAAAAAGATATACGTTGAGCAAGAGTAACAGGTATGTTAACAAAAAAAAAAAATTTTTTTTCTGAGACAAAAAAAAAACACCTCACCCTATCGCCCAGGCTGGAGTGCAATGGCACAATCTCAGCTCACTGCAAACTCTGCTGCCTGGGTTCAAGCAATTCTCTTGCCTCACCCTCCCAAGTAGCTGGGATTACAGGTACCTGCCACTATGCCCGGCCAGTTTTTGTATTTTTAGTAGAGACGGGGTTTCACCATTTTGGCCAGGCTGGTCTTGAACTCCTGACTTCGTGATCCACTGGCCTTGGCATCCCAAAGTGCTGGGATTGGGGATTACAGGCATGAGCCACCACAGCTGGCCATTACCAAAATTTATAAATTAAATTTAGATTAAGTAATATATGTGTGAAATAAACTGCAAATGACATCCCTTTTAATTCTTTGGTTAATAGGTACTACATTAAATATTCCCTCTTACACACATCTAATGAAAGATGTGAAAACTCGAACATGTATAACGAAGAGCATACTTATGCCTCATGAATTATCACCTTCCATAGCTTGAAAAAAAGCTCAAGAAGTCAGGCTCTACACTTGACTTTTGCCATCCCTATGAGACTGTCAGCCAGCACACAGAAACTGTCCTCAGAAAACAAAGGCCTCATCAGGTTCTCAGGGTTATTGTAGTGATTTTTTTTTCTTTTTTCTTTTTTTAATTTTACTTTAAGTTCTCGGGTACATGTGCATATCTTGCAGGATTGTTACATAGGTATACACACGCATGGTGGTTTGCTGCCTCCATCCCACCCATCACCTAATTAGGTATTTCTCCTAATGTTATCGCTCCCCAATCTCCCCACCTGCCACTATACTTCCCTGAGTCCCCTGTTCTACAATGGGCCCTGGTGTGTGATCTTCACCTCTCTGTGTCCATGTGTTCTCACTGTTCAACTCCCACTTATGAGTGAACATTTGGTGTTTGGTTTTCTGCTCTTGTGTCAGTTTGCTGAGAATGATGGTTTCAAGATTTGTCTGTGTCCCTGCAATGACATGAACTCATCATTTCTTATGGCTGCATGGTATTCCATGGTGTGTATGTGCCACATTTTCTTTACTCGGTCTATCATTGATGGGCATTTGGGTTGGTTCCAAGTCTTTGTTATTGTAAACAGTGCCACAATGAACATACATGTACATGTGTCTTTATAATAGAAAGATTTATAATCCTTTGGGTATATATCCAGTAATGGGATTGCTGGGTCAAATGGAATTTCTATTTTTAGATCTTGAGGAATCACCACACTGTCTTCCACAATGGTTAAACTATTTACACTCCCACCAACAGTGTAAAAGTGTTCCTATTTCTCCATATCCTCTCCAGCATGTGTCTCCAGATTTTTTTAATGATCGCCATTCTAACTGGCATGAGATGGTATCTTAATGTGGTTTTGATTTTCATTTCTCTAAAGACCAGTGATGATGAGCATTTTTTCATGTGTTTGTTGGCCACATAAATGTCTTCTTTTGAAAAGTGTCTGTTCATATCTTTTGCCCACTTTTTGATGGGTTGGTATTTTTTGTTGTATATCTGTTTTAGTTCTTTGTAGATTCTGGATATTAACCCTTCATCAGAGGGGTAGCTTGCTGAAGTTTTTTCCCATTTTGTTGATTGCTGGTTCACTCTAATGATTATTTCTTTTGCTGTGCAGAAACTCTTAAGTTTAATTAGATCTCATTTGTCAGTTTTGGCTTTTGTTGCCATTGCTTTTGGTGTTTTAGTCATGACGTCCTTGCCTATGCCTATGTCCTGAATGATATTGCCTAGGTTTTCTTCTAGGGTCTTTATAGTGTTAGTTCTTAAAGAGTTAACAACTAACTCTCTAGAGTTAGTTGTTAACTCTTTAATCCATTTGGAGTTAATTGTTGTATAAGGTGTAAGGAAGGTCCAGTTTCAGCCTTCTGCACATGGCTAGCCAGTTTTCCCAACACCACTTATTAAATAGGGAATCCTTTCCCCGTTGCTTGTTTTTGTCTGGTTTGTCAAAGATCAGATGGTTGTAGATGTGTGGCATTACTTCCGAGGCCACTGTTCTGTTCCTGGTCTATATCTTTGTTTTGGTACCAGTACCATGCTGTTTTGATTACTGTAGCCTTGTGGTATAGTTTGAAGTCAGGTAGCGTGAGGCCTCCAGCTTTTTTTCTTTTTGCTTAGGATTGTCTTGCCTATGCAGGCTCTTTTTTGGTTCCATATGAAGTTTAAGGCGATTTTTTCCTGTTCTTTCAAGGTCACTGTAGCTTGATGGGGATAGCATAGAATCTATAAATTACTTTGGGCAGTATGGCCATTTTCACAATATTGATTCTTCCTAACCATGAGCATGGAATGTTTTTCCATCTGTTTGTGTTCTCTCTTATTTCCTTGAGCAGTGGTTTGTAGTTCTCCTTGAAGAGGTCCTTCACGTCCTTTGTTAATTGTATTCCTAAGTATTTTATTCTCGTAGCAATTGTGAATGGGAGTTTGCTCATGATTTGGCTCTCTTTAAGTCTGTTATTGGTGTCTAGGAATGCTTGTGATTTTTCACATTGATTTTGTATCCTGAGACTTTGCTGAAGTTGCTTATCAGTTTCAGGAGATTTTGGGCTGAGACGATGGGGTCTTCTAAATATACAATCATGTCATCTGCCAATAGAGACAATTTGACTTCCTCGTTTCCTAACTGAATACCCTTTATTTCTCTTTCTTGCCTGAATGCTCTGGCTAGAACTTCCAATACTATGTTGAATCAGAATGGTGAGAGAGGGCACCCTTGTGTAGTGCCATTTTTCAAAGGGGATGCTTTTGGTTTTTGCCCATTCAGTATAATATTGGTTATGGGTTTGTCATAAATAGCTTTTATTATTTTGAGATACGTTCCATCGATACCTAGTTTATTAAGAGTTTTTAGCATAAAGAGCTGTTGAATTTTATGGAAGGCCTTCTCTGCATCTATTGAGATAATCATGTGGTTTTTGTCTTTGGTTCTGTTTATGTGATTCATTACATTTATAGATTTGTATAAATTGAACCAGCCTTGCATCTCCAGGATGAAGCCTACTCGATCATGATGGATAAGCTTTTTGATGTGCTGTTGCATTCAGTTTGCCAGTATTTTATTGAAGATTTTTGCATCGATGTTCATCATGGATATTGGCCTGAAATTTTCTTTTTTAGTTGTGTCTCTGCCAGGTTTTGGTATGAAGATGATGTTGGTCTCATAAAATGAGTTAGGGAGGATTCCCTCTTTTTGTATTGTTTGGAATAGTTTCAACAGGAATGGTACCAGCTCCTCTTTGTACGTGTGGTAGAATGTAGCTGTGAACCCATCTGGACCTGGGTGTTTGTGGTTGGTAGGCTAATAATTGCTGCCTCAGCATCAGACCTTGTTATTAGTCTATTCAGAAATTCAACTTCTTCCTGGTTTAGTCTTGGGAGGGTGTAAGTGTCTAGAAATTTATCCAAATCTTCTGGATTTACTGTTATGTGCATAGAGGTGTTTGTAGTGATCGCTGATGGTAGTTTGTATTTCTGTGGAATCAATGGTGATATCCCCTTTATCATTTTTAATTGCATCTATTCGATTCTCCTCTCTCTTTTTTTTAAATTAGTTTGACTGGCATTCTATCTATTTTGTTGATCTTTTCAAAAAAACCAGCTGCTGGATTTACTGATTTTTTGAAGGGTTTTTTTTGTGTCGCTATCTCCTTCAGTTCTTCTCTGAACTTAGTTATTTCTTGTCTTCTGCTAGCTTTTGAATTTGATCTTGCTCCTCTAGCTCTTTTTTTTTTTTTGAGACGGAGTTTCACTCTTGTTACCCAGGCTGGAGTGCAATGGCGCGACCTCGGATCACCGCAACCTTCGCCTCCTGGGTTCAGGCAATCCTCCTGCCTCAGCCTCCTGAGTAGCTGGGATTACAGGCACATGCCACTGTGCCCAGCTAATTTTTTTTGCATTTTTAGTAGAGACGGGGTTTCACCATGTTGACCAGGATGGTCTCAATCTCTTGACCTCGTGATCCACCCGCCTCGGCCTCCCAAAGTGCTGGGATTACAGGCTTGAGCCACCGCACCCAGCCCTCCTCTAGCTCTTTTAATTTTGACAACAGGGTGTATATTTTAGATCTTTCCCCTCTTCTCTTTTTTTTCTGCATCTCACAGATGCATTCATTCATGCCATGAAGTAAACGGTTGAAGTGTACAGTGATGTTCCACGCTCTGCATCTAACACAGCTTGCTCAAATTTCCAGGCAGACTGACATTTTCTTTCACATGTACTCCAAGTAAAGCTGGTTAGTGATGACCATGAGCAGCAGCTGAAGCTTTTGCAGCCTTACTTCTTTTATCAGCGGCCAGGATTTTATAAATGATGAAGCCCATCAGCCCCTTTCCTACCCAAATCTCCTGGTAAACTTGGGTATCGTGGGCTTCATGGGGAGCCACATATTTTTCATAATTATTTGGAGCATCTTGGAACAGGACAGACGGCTCAGGGAGCACCCCAAACCCACAGCCAACTCAGAAAGGCATTTATTTATTTATTTACTTATTTAGTATACAGAATTTTGCTCTTGTTGCCAGGCTGGAGTGCAATCTTGGCTCACCGCAACCTCTGCCTCCGGGGTTCAAGCGATTCTCCTGCCTCAGCCTCCCAAGTAGCTGGGATTATAGGAATACACCACCACCCCGGCTAATTTTGTATGTTTAGTAGAGATGGTTTTTCTCTATGTTGGTCAGGCTGGTCTCGAACTCCTGACCTCAGGTGACCGGCCGGCCTCGGCCTTCCAAAGTGCTACGATTACAGACATGAGCCATCATGCCCAGCCATTGGTAGTGATTTTTAAGGCCAAAACACCCCAGTGTCGTAACCTGAGGCAGTTATAGTTTTTAAGCAGTCGCTTGAGCGGTTAACACTTTAAATCTCCAGTTATTTACAGTGTCATTGGTTTACTTTTGCCCTCAGGAAAAGTTCCAAATTCCTTTTCATGGAATATACACACCCATGTTCATTTGGTTCTTGTCAAGTTCCTCAGGCATATCTCTCACCACTTACTGTATTCTGCCCCTTTGTTCTAGCATCCAGCCAAACTGGACTGCACAGAACTCCCCAGTGCTCTTCCTTTACCTCCCGCTGTTTGCGCTTGCTTCTTGGCTCTATCTGCCAATCTTTTTTTCATGTCCTTCAGGCGCTCACTAACCATGCCTCCACCAAAAAGCCTTCAATATCGAGACAAAACTGGGATAGGTGTCCCTCCTATGTTCTAATAGTGCCCTGTTTTATACCTGTCAAGGTGTCTATGGCTTGGCATGGAAACTGCCTATTTGTCTACTTTTTCAGGTTATAGCATACGATTGCTGAGGGCTGGGCTGTATCATCTTGATCTTGTAACTCCAGGGCTTGTCATAGTCTAGTACCTTAGCACATGGTTGCTGAATAAATGAGTGAAGAATGAGAAAACCGGAAACCGTGATACTCAACCTCAATGATCATTAATTCAGTGGGCAACTATTGGCAAATTATTATCTAATAATAACTTAGCATTGTAGTCATATATATGTTTTATTAACACTGAAAAAGTTCTCAACTCTTTTTTTACTGACTTAACAATTAGCTACCTATGAAATATATAGAATGTAATTCTTTGGCCAGGAATGTTGGCTCACACCTGTAGTCACAGCACTTTGGGAGGCTGAGGCGGGCAGATCACTGGTGCCCAGAAGTTTGAGAGCAACCTGGGCAACATGACAAAACCCTGACTGTACATAAAATACAAAAACTTGCAAGGTGCTGTGGCATATGCCTGTAGTTCCAAGTACTTGGGGTTGAGGTAAGAAAATTCCTTAAGCCTGGGAGGAAGAGACTGCAGTGACCTGTGATCACACCAGGGCACTCCAGCACAGGTGAAAGAGCAAGACCTTGTCTTAAAATAAATAATAATAATAATAATAATATAATTCTTACTTTTTCTTTTCAGCTGCTATTGAATTAGAATCTGAATTTGCACATGTCACAAATGCGAAGATAGGATTAGTTGAGGCAGCAGTAAAAGAATACGCACAGGTTTTATGCAGAAAATACAGGATCTGAAAGATAAGGCAATTTTATTTCTGGGCTGTTCACATATTTTGTTTCCTTTTTTTTAACTTAAATTTTTTTGTGGCAAATATGCATGATATAAAATTTACCATCTTAACCATTTTAAGTATATGGTTCAGCAACATTGGGTACATTCACGTTGTTTTTGTTTTTAATTGCATTTTAGGTTTTGGGGTACATGTAAAGAACATGCAAGATAGTTGCATAAGTCCACACGTGGCAGTGTGATTTGCTGCCTTCCTCCCCTTCACCTATAGCTGGCATTTCTCCCCATACTATCTCTCCCCAACTCTCCACCCCACACTGTCCCTCCCCTATTCCCCGCAACAGACCCCAGTGTGTAGTGCTTTCCTCCCTGTGTCCATGTGTTCTCATTGTTCAGCACCCACCTATGAGTGAGAACATGCGGTATTTCATTCTGTGTTCTTGTGTCAGTTTGCTGACAATGATGGTCTCCAGGTTCATCCATGTCCCTACAAAGGACACGAACTCATCATTTTGATGGCTGCATAATATTCCATGGTGTATATGTGCCCAATACTCTGACTCCTCTCCTTGTCCACTTTCTTAAAACACTTATTCAATGACAAATTATGTCTCACTGAGTTTTTCCACCCATTCTTTTTTACATGTTTGGTGGAATTCAGCAGTGAATTTGTCAGGTCCTGGGCTTTCCACCCAGTAGGTGCATTTGCAAAACATGGAAAATGTTCCAAGATCCAGTTGTAGATATCCTTCACTGGCAGGCGCTTGGTTGGAGAGTCCTTGATGGCCATAAATTTGAGGCAGCTGAAGGAGTAGGGGGGTTTGCAGTTTGGGTTCTGCCTGGCATCGTAGGGCATGTCAGAGTGGGCAGGGGATGCGGGGCTGTCGTCATCCAGGTCCTGGACGGGGTTGACACTCCTGAGGACCGACTCCCCAAAGCCCTTCAACAAGTTCTTGCTCTTGTGCAGCCAGTTCAGGTTGGTCAGCTCTTCATCTTCCATGGTCCCCTCTTCTAATCGGGTGTCAGGCAGAGGAAAGTCAAGGGCATCGTCTTCTTGAAGGGCCTTGGAGAAACCGCTGCCCCGGTAACACTGACTCAGTCCACTGGAGACACTAATTCCTGAGCTTTCTGACTTCTTACTGGGAGGCATGACTGGACCCATTTACGTGAAGGCTCCCGGCCAGAGTGGGGCACAGGGGCGCGCGGGGCTCCGCTGCCCTTCAGCGGGAGCCGAAAAACTTTCACGGGCGTCCAGGCGGCAGGGACACGGGGGTCGCGGCACGCCATGGGACCTGCGGTGTCTGCCGGGGGCGCCGCGTGTCCTCCCGCCGCCCCGCACCCTCGCTCCCCACCGCCTAGTCTCACCTCCACTGCGGTGCGGCGCGCCGAGCGGCGAGAAATTGTTTCCCCATTTGACTTCTTTCTTTCCTCTTTGGATGCTGCTTATTATTTTCTTGATTTTTAAATATTATTTTGGTCTCTCTATTAAATTTATCTGATAGAATTCTGAATTCCTTCTCTGTGTTATCTTGAGTTTCTTTAACACAGCTATTTTGAATTCTGTGTCTGAAAGGTCACATATCTCTGTTTCTCCAGAATGAGTCTCTGGTGCCTTATTTAGTTCATTTGGTGAGGTCATGTTTTCCTGCAAGGTTTCTTACTTGTAGGTGTTCATCTGTGTCTGCACATTGAGTTCAGAATTTATCGTAATCTTTACTCTCTGGGCTTATTTGTAGCCATCCTTCTTGGGAAGACTCTTTATACGTTTGAAACGTCTTGGATGTCACAATCTTTACAAGGCACCCCAAGCCCAGTAATGTTGTGGATTCATGTAGACTCATAGTGGTACCACCTTGATCGTCTTGGGAAAGATCCAGAATAATTCTCTTTATTGCCAAGCAGAGACTCTTGTACTCTTCCCTTACTTTTTTCCAAACATACAGAGTCATGGTCTCTGTTCTGAGCCACCTAAAGCCTGGGGGTAAAGTGACACAAGCACCCCTGTGGCCACCATCACTTTCACTGCATTGGGTCAGACCTGGAGCCAGTTTAGTGCTGGGTCTTGCCCAAGGCCTGCCTTAACTATTTGGCTACTGTATATGTTTGCTCAGGGCCCTGGGGCTCTACAACAAGCAGGTAGCAAAGCCATCTAGGCCTGTATCCTTCCCTTCCAGGTGGCATATTCTCCCAGACCCTGGGTAGGTCCAGAAGTGCTGTCTGGGGGTCAGGGACTGGAGTCAAAACAGTTAGAGCTCTACCTGCTTTCTGTTATACTGTGGCTGAGCTAGCCCTCAAACTGCAAGTCACAGTCCTTCCTGCCCTTCCTCCCTTTCCAAAGGCAGGGGAGCCTCATCTGTAGCCACCACCAGCCACAAGGAGTAACTGCCAGACACTGATATTTCCTTAAGGTCCATGGTCTCTTAAGTTAGCTTGTGGTGAATGCTGCCTGGCCTGGGATTCATACTTCAGAGCAGTGGGCTCCCCTGGCCCAGGGCAGGTCCAGAAATGCCATCCAAGGGTCAAGTCCTGAAGCTCACTTGGTGCTCCAACCCTTTGAGGCAGTTTTGTTACCTGGGTTTTGGTTCTTATAAAGATGGGTTTTTTCCTGCATAGATAGTTGTTAAGTTGGTGTCCTTGCTCTTAGGGGTTACCATCAGTGAAGCTTTCTCTTCCGCCATCTTTGTCCACTTCCTAATTGAGTATTCCTTTTAACGTACAGAATACTTTAAAATTCTCATAGGGATAAACCTATTAGTCTTCCCTTTAAACTTCTGCCTTTGGGGTCTTATTTAGGTTTCTCCTACCCATATCATATAAATATTTGCAATATGTTTTCTTATTCCATTTTTAGACTTATTTGTTTGTAGAATAACAAAAGTAGGCCAGGTGCAGTGGCTCACGCCTGTAATCCCAGCACTTTGGGAGGCTGAGGCGGGTGGATCAAGAGGTCAAGAGATCGAGACCATCCTGGTCAACATGGTGAAACCCCGTCTCTACTAAAAATACAAAAATTAGCTGGGCATGGTGGTGCGTGCCTGTAATCCCACCTACTCAGGAGGCTGAGGCAGGAGAATTGCCTGAACTCAGGAGGCGGAGGTTGCGGTGAGCCGAGATCGCGCCATTGCACTCCAGCCTGGGTAACAAGAGTGAAACTCCGTCTCAAAAAAAAAAAAAAAAAGAATTCACAACAAAAGTAATAATCATAAAAATACTGATGTGACATATAAATATCTGTATTGGATATGTGTTTTTTAAATTATACCAATGAGATGGGGCAATTCTGTGTTATATTATAACACACATCTTGGCCGTTAGACAGATGAAGCACCTTTGCATTTGTGAATACATGATTTGTGCTTTTTCTTTTGTACAGTTCCTATTTATATTCTTGCCCATTTTCCCACTATGTTTTACAAGTTCTTAGTAATTTGAATGAACTGCATATATTCTAAATATTATTTTTAATACATACATTGCAAATACTTCCAGCGTGTCACTTGCCTTTTAACATTATTTATCAATATTTTGCTTAAAGGGAGGTTTTACTTTTTAGGTAGCAAAATTAGTTCATTTTTAAACTTCAGGATATTTGTATTTCATGTCATAAGTAAAAGGCATTGCTTACTGCAAGGATATAAAGAATTACTTTCTTGTAGTAATGATTTTATATCAAAGTCTTTATGTTAGTTGAAGCTTATTACTGGTTTTCTCAAATTCCACATACCTAACTTTCTCATAGCAATTCCATTCTCTACTGATTTCAAATGCTCCGTTTGTTATCTTTGAAATTCTTATGTATAAGTCATGTCTGACTGTCCCACTACTGCCATGAATGTGTTTTGTATCAGCACAGTACTCTAGGATTTATCCTCTGATAACCAGTAGAAGCAGGCCTCCACTCCCTGTCATTCTCTTTATTTTCTTTTGGCCAAAGCTAGCTATTCTCACATGGGCTTATTTTTTATATAAACTTTGAAACATTTTATCAAATCACACACAAATTGCCATCTAATTAAAATTTCAGTCTTTTTAGATACAGACTTTGGGACAAAGGTCATCTGTATCTTTTAAGTTTTCTAATTCAGGTTTTAGGTTTAGGTTTAGACTGATGAAAGTTTTCTAGACTACTTCAAGTGTATCTTCTACGTTTCTTGCTTCATTTTTGTGACTTCAGTAGCTAATTTTTCCCATTGTGATTATCTAGTTTTCTTTTTTCTATTCGTTTATAGCATATATCAAAGAAAGACATTAACTTTTTTCAGTAGTTACCTTGTATCCAGTCATGATGATGTTAGCCTCCGTATATGAGTTTTTAAATGTTTTCGCTTTTTCTTTGCTCTTAAATTTTTAAGTCACATATGATTTCTTTTTTGAAGTCTGGTAGAACACAGGCATAAAATGAAATGAGCTTGGTGTTCTTCTCTGGGCTCTGTCTTAAATTGGATAAAAGTTTTCACAATATTTTTGAGTTAATTAAATTTGAAGGTTGCCAAAACAAGCCTCATTATTTTCTTATATTTATAAGTCAGAGTTATTCTTGGAAATGCAGTGATAGTATAGGCATGAAATACATATGGGCGATTTTATTATTGCGTATTTAGGGCCAGATAAAGCAAAGACAACATCAAGAATAGTAATTCGATGAAGCAAGACATGAATGTAAGTCACAGTTCCATAAAGAAAATACAATTATTCTGAACAATATTTTTAATCAGCAGCCATGATCTTTAAATACTCACCTTAGAATATTGCTTAAAAATTCAAAAACTATCAAGAGTTTAACAGAAATACAGAGTTCCCACATGATTTTGTTTTTAAAAGGGAATCTCTGTTATCTGAGTACAGAATAATTTTGTCATAATATAACACACTGGGGTCTGTTGGGGGGAATAGGGGAGGGATGGTGGGGGGTGGGGAGCTGGGGAGGGATAGCATGGGGAGAAATGCCAGATGTGGGTGAAGGGGAGGAAGACAGCAAATCACACTGCCACGTGTGTACCTATGCAACTATCTCAAATGTTCTGCACGTGTACCCCAAAACCTAAAGCAATAAATTTAAAAAAAATTTTTCAAAATATAATTTCACTCTTTGTATATAATTTATATAACAACTTTTATTGCATTTATGAGCTTTTTAAAAAGTGAATAAATTCATTAATATTCCTTAACATATACAGACTTTTCAAATTAATGGCAGTATATTTTTATATGTTTAGACATGCATAAGTTGATACGTATGTAAATGCATAATAAAATTAAAACCTTAATTTTGAGGTATAATTAATCATACCTGAATTTAAAGTATGTACGTTACATGGACCATTTTTTAAGTTACCATTTTTGTGAATTAACTTCCCTTACCATTATCTTTGCCAGTATACATATTCATCTTTTCTAATTACTATACCAACTGTAGTCTTTTTATTTATAATTGCTTATTTTTTAATGTGGACCTCAGATTGACTTATGCCAACTGTAGTCTTTTTATTAATTACTGGCTTTAATTAAAATTATAAACTGTTTTCTTCTGACACAGAGAAAACTAGAAAGAAGACAGGAACCCAAAAACTGCCTAATTTTTTAAGTACACATTTTAGATTATCTTTATAAATGTTAAAGTAATAAAATAAATGCCTATATAAAATCCAATGCATTTGGACATTCTCTTGATCTGTAAATCATTTGATAATATATAAGGTTAACAGTAGATTGGATCGTGTTTATGACTAAAGTTTAATATTTGTGGTGACTTTTATGTATGTTTTAAAATATGTTAACCCTTACTTGAATTTTTTTTCCTTTAAGAGGTGGAGCCTAAATCTTCTGTAGATTTAGGGGCACATTTCTAATGAATAGAAAAAAGTGGATGTGACAGTTTGTGAGTTAGGAGATGAGGTAAGGAAAGGTACCACACTTTTCTGCTTCCACCTCCTGTGGAATCAGCTGCTCTAGGAAAAGCCAACTGCTATGTGGTGAGGACTTTGAAGCAGCTTTGCGGGGACATCCACATAGCAAGGAACTGAGAGGCTTTTAGCTAATGACCATGTGACTGGGTCATCTTGGAAGTGGACCCATCAGCTCAAGTCAAACTGTCAAATGACTACAGTCCTCTCTGGCTGACATCTTGACTGCAACCTAAATGGCTTTATGAAAAATCCAGAA